GGTCAAAAGTTTCCCATTTAGCAAGAGGGCGCCATTCATGCCTTATTACAGAATTTGCACGCGTAAATCGCGGAGAACGCTATCTTGTGTTTATAAGATCTTTGGTTGCTTCGCACACGCCGCTGAGGGCGGCATTCCGGGAACCCTGCGTCAAGGCATGAAAGTAATACCTGTCGCGTCGTACTCTACCAAGGACTTGTAACTTAATTGTATGTTTCCACCGTATTTTATTGGTATGAACATTTATAGATTGAATTATTTGTAATGAAATGCGTGATAATATATGAATTTGTCATTCCTACATGATGAAAAAGTAGTAACCACAATACATAACCAGATAAATATATCAACACTGTGAAAGTTGTTGATATAACTACTTATTAGGACACAACGGCTAACTGAACTTCCGTTCGTTTTTCCGAGGTACAAAATGACCTATTAATGCTTTTTTGGTTGTGTCAACCAAGTGTCAACAACTTCCCTTTTATATATCGATAACAACATGTTTTGATTGTATATATAATATAATAATATAATTGCAAATAATCAGGATACAGTGAAGTAGCCCTAGGGCTAAAAACATTATTTACATACAAAATACCGATTACAAGTTAAAAATATAAAAACATGAATTTTAAACATCAAAAAAGGCACACGAAACAAATCATTACACCTATAAAAAGTAAAATTGTTATATTATGCCCATTTAACTACTTGAATCAATATGTTTATTTTGATCTATCTTTATTATTATTAATTCAGTTGTAAGAATGCTTATTGAATACCATATATCTAAATAAATAACATTCATTTAGCATTCTTACAACAGTGGGGATTCCAAAGTGATTCCTCCTCTCAATAGTATATGAAGAGCTCATTTCCAAAAGGTGTCAAATCCATTTTGGTCAAAATTGAGTTTTAACCACAAAATGATGGTATAGGCCTATCAACATCATGTGATGTTTCCGTCTGTTCCAAAGAGTATTAAATCCATCAGTAAACAGCCTTCAAAGATCGAGTTCCTTTCCAAAAGGTGCTATGTTTTTCTTCAAAAAGAGTCCTTAAATAGCGCCCTTAAATCATACATAAACCAATCACAACTGCCAGTTTTGTCATATTATATATACATATATATATATATATATATTTATTTGTATATATATATAATATGTATATATGGTATGCTTTAAAATGACTACTCCACATCATCCTTTTCGAAAATGAAAACTTTTAAATTTCAATTAGCAAACATTATATAGGCCTACAGTTATAATGATATGATGATGATGATAATACTGGAAGATTTCCATGAAATAAACAAACATAGGAATCAAGGTCAACATGAAAGTGCATTCGAAACATTGCCAACAACACGAGAATTCACATACTGTGAATTTACACATGGTCACACCATAGATCCTATTTGTGGTTACACATTCACAAAGGAAAGAAGGTACGGTATACAACCAGTCCTGACAACGATTCCTACGGACGGACGCACAGACATAACACAGCACAACTTAGCGACAAATACAATCATGGAGTTATATAGTGAGATAGCGAAATGTTGAAATTGCGTTCGGCGACCCAACCCAAAAACTACATTAGCGACTCTAGTTGGGTCACGACCTTTATAGTTCGACTCACCGTTCTTAATTTTTTTAAATTTCCGATTTGTTTTTTTTTTACATACTGTTCGAAGATAAAAAATTGTTATTGCACAGCAGTATTAGTGTAATGTATTGTAGAAAGTATTATAGTCACTATCTGTGTAGGTCTATGTTACTAGTTTCAGTTGTTAGTTTTTCTAATAGATGTTTTTCTAGTACCTGTGTATAATAAAAAATCTCATTTGACATTTTCCTTCAGTACTTAATATTCTTAAAGAAATTTCAGCCTCGGTGCTTTTATACTAGATGTGTTCTGTAAATGCGTTTTGCGAACGAAGGAGGAGTTGTCCAGCAATAGGTAGTTTTCCCACCTTAACGTTAACGACTGACGTCATAATTTATTCATCTTGCGTTGCAGAGTACGTAAAATTCAGGATTTTACGTGCTCGACGTACGTTAGTTACGGGTTTCGACTTGATTACAAAATGGGCGGAGCTATCGCGTTGCGTGTTTGGTACTAACGTTAAAACGTTAAAGTTAAGGTTGACGTCGTGCGGTGAAAACTACCTATTAACAAACACAAAACTTTATCACAAACGTTTTAAAATTGGTACAGGTTTTTTTTTTTATAAGAACCAGTACAATTTTGACCAGGCTTATGTTTTAGTCGATTTCAGGCTCAAAATGTTCTTATTTTGTTATTATTTGACAAACTTTTCAAAATCGGAAATTGTTATTGTACAGCAGCATACTACTGTACTGGAATGTAGTTAGAAATGGCCCGGAAAAATGGGCCCTGAAAAAAGGCCCAGGAAAATTGGACCCAGAAAAAAGGCCCGGTAAAAATGGCCCCAAATGAGAGTACTTTTCCGAAAACCGAAAGGTCCACTGATTAATCTCAGATAAGATAGTATAATACATACTCCAAGTATCAAAATGCACGCCATCATGTCGGGATTCAATATTTCGACATTAATTATGTCATCATCAGGAATGATGAATAGCAAAACTGATGATGACATAATTAATGTCGAAATATTGAATCCCGACACGATGGCGTGTATTTCGATATTTGGAGTAGGCCCCCTATGTAGTATACTATCTTAAATGAGAGTACATCTACTGACTAGAGGGTATTACATAGGGACATTTACTGCACATAAGGTACAGATATAATATTTGGCTTTCCTTAAAAAAAATAAAAACCTCATTTGACATTTTACCTCAGCCTCGTTTCTTCTCATTTTGTTCATAATTTTTAAGCAATTTATAGCCTCGGTGTTCTTATAAAAAAAATACCTGCAGGATGAGTCCTTGTTGACGAGGAGTGAGGTTCATGTGGGGCAAAGCCCACAGACATACTGCAATGAAAGGAATTAAGAGTCGCGTTTATTATTTAGAATTCTGTAAATTATAAGCTCATAATTATTTATTTCAGGTGTATTTTGGAGTGTGAGGTCCAAGTAAAATAAGTGTAAAAACAATTGAGAAGACAATGTACAATTATAAACTTGAGGCTAACTTGCGAAACACAGATTTATTAAAATATGATAAAACGGATATTTCTGGATAAACTCTGCTATCAAAGTTAAAGTAGTAAACTTGGAAGATCAGTATAATATACATCTAGATAGTATTAAGCAATCACAACCGAGTAAAATATACAATCAGTTGATGAAGTAACAATTAAACAATGATAAGTCGTCGGCAAATATATAGATGGTTACAAGCTAAACATTCTTCAGTCAGGTATTCACGTAGGTCTAGTACAACTCATGTCATGGTACGTAAACTATAAAAAGGATCTTTTTGAAAAACAACATAGTTCTAAAGTAAACTACGGCAGTCATGGAAAGAGCCACGTACCCGTTAAAATAATTTTTTATCCTAATTTCTTTTGTTGACATAGACCT